CCCCTTACCCTTCGCCTCCCCCACCTCCACCAACCCCAACACCTCCTTCTCCCTCTTCACCCTCAACTCCTCCCTATATGCCTGCACCGCCTCCCTCCTCCTCCCCACCGCCGGCTCCATCAGATACCTCGGGACCTTCCTCGGGCGCGCCGTAAACCGAGGCGGCTGCATCTTCAACCCATCATCACCACCATCCAGCTCCGACTCCCAGTCAAACTCCTCATCATCCATCCTTGCGTAGTCCGAGGGCTGCGGCAGTTTGGCACGCGCGTACATGGCTTGTTGCATGTCGGTCGTGTATGCGGTTGCGAGTTTGAGTTTGCGCTCCAGCCGCGTGATGGTGTCGCGTTTTTTGGCGTCGGCGGCTGAGGTGTGGTTGAAGGTGCTCTTGAGCGAGGCGTAGTCGCGCTCGAGGCTGCAGAGTTTGCTGTGCAGGGCGGCGGGCGCGCGGAATGAGGCGTCGCTGGTGAAGGCGTGGTAGGCGGAGATGTAGCTGAGTATTTCTTGGTCTTTTTCGTGCAGGGCAGAGTCGAATTCTGAGGTGCGGACGTCGAGTTCGGATTGTTTGAGGGTGAGCTCGGATTTCCATTCTGCGGCTTCGTGTTGTGAGGTTTGGGCTTGTTGGGTGAAGTGGGTGATTTGGGCTTGGAGGTCTGCTAGTTGCGAATGGAGATCTTGCTGGGTCTTTTGGAGTTGCGAGTCTTGCTTGTCTTCTGTTACCAGAGCTGAAAGCTTTTGTTCAGCAGCTATTCGTTTTGCTCGCTCCTCCTTGTAGAGAGTCTCGATTTTGTCGCTGCTGTACAGCGGGTTTATATAAGGCATTAGACCGGGAGTCGGTGGAACTTCCTCGTGGGATTGCTCTTCGATCGCCTTTTTAATATTGGTGATTTCATATTTTTTGTCCTCCAATTGACGTTCCAGACTTCCATTCTTCTCAACAAACATTTTCACGAATTGCCGCACATGCAACAGCACTTCGTTGGTCTCAGCATCATCCGCACAATTTCGTATGACCTGATCGAGATCCTTAAGGTCGATGGCTACGCCGCCGAACGATAATTGTATCCACCTTACGATGACTCTACCCATATCACATACTGACTTTTGTAGCCTTGTAAGTTTCTTGTTGCTCTCCAATGCCTCTTCCTCGGTATTTGCGGCGTGTTGAGTCATGTCTATTAACTCATTGTCTTTCTTCTTGAGCTCAGTTTTCATCTTGGCAATGTCGTTTTGCTTTTCCACGACTGTTGCTCGAAGCTTCTTGTTCTCTGTTTCTGTCGCTTCCTTCTGTGACGTTTCGGCCTTGACTTGGTCCTCGAGTTTTCGACACTTGGTGGAGAGCGCGTCGTAGTTTTGCTTCCACATTTCTAATTCGGCCTTGTAAAACTTCAGTTTATCCTCTACAGCCTTGTCATGCTCCATGCTAAAAGCTTTGAGATTTCCATTCTCCGCTACTAGCTCGTAGTTACGCTGACGCAGGCTCACCACCTCTTCTTTGGCAATTTCCAGTTCTTCGCGTCGTTCCCTCATTGCTTCTTCCTCTAGATGTTCAAATCCGGCTACCCTTGACTCTCCCAAGTCTACGTCTCTTCCCTGGCTCCAACCGCCAAGTATCTCGGTCACATTGTTTTCATGAAATTTTGGGCTGTCCGTCGGATTGAAGGTTGAGCTCCGCATTTTATGAGCTTCATCCCTTTGTTCAGACACCGAGTGAGACAATTGTCCACTTTCAGTACTGTTATTCCTGTAGTTTCTGAGAGTACTGTTACTGCGTGCCAGAGGAGACATGGGCCGTGTATTATGCATAGAGGATGTTCGCAGTAAAGGACTGCCCTGGCGACCGAAGGGCTCAATCTTGTCATGTTTCTTCGCTTGGGACGATCTTGTAGGTGCAAAATAGCTGGATGGACTGTTCCGTGATCGGGAACTCAAATAGTTCAGATCCTTTTTGTGATCAGTCTCATCGAGCACACTGGTCGGGCTTTCCATCCCAAATGTAATTTCATCCCGATTTGCCTCGCCATCTGTCGCATTTGCTATTTCTGGTGGCAGGGAGAGGGGTGAAGTAGCCCCTATAGTTTCTTCTATACGACCTAGTAAGGTTGGTCGCCTTCGCTTCACTTCCTCGCCAGGGCTTGGCGAGTTTGTGGTCTCATCTTTGTACAAGGTGACGTCCTTCTCGGAGCTGTTATTATTCGACATAGTTCTCAACAATTATCTCCAATGCAAGTTAATCTGTGAGATCGATACAGATTACCCAGCCTGTGAATGTAGAGAAACTCTTCGCCATGACTAGTCTAATGTGGCTGGTTCATTGTTTCGGTGGGTTTGTTTCAAAGCCCTTTCAGAAAAATCAACAATCGACAGATTACGTAGTGAACTCAGGTAAGCCTCAAAGGCATGACTCTATCCGGAATGTCACACTGTTCTTTATTGGCTTGCTTGGTGCAAGTCCCTGAAGTCCCTGACAGCTTCGAGGAAAAGGGGTTGCTCCAGTTTCTGATGGCCGAGAACCACGATCACAACATTTTGCCCGCCAAGAAGCCTGCTCTTTCAAACGTATATGGTTGGTACCTTGCATCTGGGTTGTTTCTACTCTAGACAAGACATTCGCCTTCGAGCCGTCTTTAGCCTGTGCACAGAGTACCTGCTAAAGTCAATCTGATCACGATCGTCGCGGCCCGATAAAGTATCATGCTTCTATTCTCTAAACCTAAAGGAGCACCATTTACCATATCAAGTCTGGGGCCTCCTACGGTTGGCACTCGACAAATGCAAGCTAGAGAAGTGCGGTCTAAGTGGCACGGCGTGCCAGCGCGCCACCAACTCCACAGGATAGTGTATCACAGGTCTAGCTGACTGAACTTAGAAAGGCGCCATTGCTGAATCCCATTTTTCTTAATTCCATCCTGGTCAGCTTTTAGTGTAGTTGAAAATGGCACGCTGTGAAGAACATGGACGAGCTCAGTATGCGTGGTGGATGAACATGGGAAATCAGACATCAGAAAGTCGAAAAGTCAGCTGGAAGGCGAAGAAAATAATGGAAAGTGGCTAAGATTTCAAGCTCTATATGGCTTGTTGGATGTTTCCCCTCCTCGCTGAGCTCAGATCGAGGATTGGTTGAGCTTGAACTGCTGTGACATGTCCTTGCTGACATGATGCGCTCCTATTTTCGCCCACTCGTCTCAGCGTAACCAAAGACCTGATGTAAGTACGTCGTCTCGAGAGTTTTCTTCCATTGTCGTGATCAAGTGTTCGACAGATACCCATCGTGACAGACCCCAAACAGCCGTATCACCAGAAGACTCACAGTTGACTGGGTTATTGAGGGGACCCGGTCGCATGAGGTGACTTCAAGCAGTTAGTGGCTACCATTCGCTACATGCTTGGTCCGAAAATGGCGCGATTATTGCATTTGAGTCCCACAGTAATCAGCGGGAGGCCCGAGCAAGAACCTCACGGCATAGTTTCTTGATTCAACCGCAACCGTTGACCTACTTGCGAGGGTCCAATTATGTCGCTTAACGCGGTCGCTATTATCCTGTGGGCAGAAAGGGACTGCTGCTAGGGCCTACAGACAGTAGTGACCCAAAATATGTTGGTGACGACGGCTAGACTGTCGACGGCACTTCTGTGCCATGGAAATGTTCCGTGGTAATGGTTGAGGTTAAGTGGGGTAAACCGTCGAAACCCTATCGCACTTGCATGAAGTAGGGGGGCCACACTGATCGTTGGCTGCCATGGAAAGCACAATTGTTGGCTTTCCATTCTTTACGATTTCTTACAACCAATCAAATTATAAAAACATAACCATAAGAATGAGCCTGCGAGACACGCGCAGGGTTCGTTACGAATGGCCAGCAGTAAATATGCTGCAAGCCTTAATGGCACACTCGTGGCATCGGGGCCTCAAAACGTGGACTGGCGGCTTGGCAATGATTTCTGGCTAGCAATAAGAATATCGCTGGCTTGAGTGAGTTGAAGTCAGGATAAGGGCACAGTAAGTGGTCGTTGACAGCGATGAAGTCGCCTAGATGCATGTGCCCATAGGTTGCTTTCTACGGCGAGAGTTTAACATCTGACGGTGGTAACACAACGCGATATCGCTAGCAGTGATCCATTACTGATCAAGCTGGCTAACGTGTACTCCTGGAATGCTTTGACGGAACTACAACCGTCATCGTAGCTTATTTGCCGTCGTTCTGGGTGTACCGGCCAAAACAGACATGTCCAAATTTCACAAACTACATCGAACCCCCTGATTCACAGTGGTACCGATAGTGATGGGATCAACATATGTTTCGCGCTTGCTCAGACCAATCGACACTGCCTTTGAGGGTCGGTCAAACGGGGTTACACAAAGTTGAGACTGTTTGGTTGACATGCCAAAATGGTCCTAGCATGCATTCCGGAAGGAGGTCGATAGGAAGCGCATATCGACACGATCTACCGGAAGTGACCGAATTTTTGCCTGCATGCATCCGGTGTGCAGAACCTTGCTGAGCTGTTCACTGCCTGTCGCTTAGAGACATTGAGGACCAGGTTCCCCGTATAGACCTGCCTCAAAATTCATCCACACTAAACTAAACAGCCGCGAACGGACAAGGTTGACGGGGTTATTCTTGGTTCAAGCGGTCAACGGGCTGCTCAGCCTCGCTGTAGTGGCGCACTGTGACCACCGTGTCGGGATGCCATGTTGGTCCTTTGTTCACCCGCTGCAAATGCCAAAATCAACAGATGCATCACGTTTGAGTACCAACTAGTTCCGGATTTTCCCACGAACTGATTGCACAGATGTATGTTAGCCCGCATGACAGACTTTAGAAATTGCGGTGTTATGGCTAGCCCTGCCAAGCATGACCAGCTGTCAGGGTTCTGGCATATATGATATGCAGCCATCCGTAAGAAGGACGCTAAATCAAGCTGCTAAGTGACAGAATGACTAGATGTACTTCGGCCAACCAATCTGAACCTGTAAGAAGTTTGAGATCAAGGACCTTCCACGATACTGATTTCGAAAGAGGAAGGACCGTCAGCGCCAGAGCTGTGATTAGTGTTTGGCAAGTAGCCCATGATCTGATTGATCACAATTCCCCAAGGGGGTACCAATAGCTAAAGATACCAGTGAGTGTGGCTTACGATGGTGAACGCCAAGGGCACATGACTGCTGCAAGCCATGTTGGATCCTTGTCAAACCTGGTAAACACTCACTGATGCTGGGTGAATCTTGCGAAAGGGCGTCCTTGTTAGGCGTAGCTTCCGCCCAGGGCTATCATGGTGGAGGGGCTGAGGGCCGTTTCCCACACCACTGGAGAAAAAAAAACGCGAGTTACTGAGCTTCGAAACGTGAACGGGCCAGAGGGCTAAGTTTGCGCCATCAGGTATGTGTTGAATCAGTGGGGAGGCTAATAGTACAAAAACAGCGCAGCTCTTTAGTGCGGCAAGCGTACCCAGCCATCACCAATCCGGTAGTCTCTTTGTCCACGCTGAGACGCAGATACACTACAATGTAAGTGAACAGCAGAACTCGAGATTGAGTAGTTCGCTACAAATATCATCTTATGACTGACCCTGGACAAAGAATTCTCTTCGGTTGATCCGCCCTTCACACCTTGTTCTAGCTCCTCTGCCATCACCGCAAAGAGTAGCAGACCAGGAAAACACAACTCCGGTACTCTAGTTGCATATCTCTCATACTATTTGGCGTCTTGTAGTTGTCGAATTTGCTTGTACACATACCAAACCATTGGAGCCGGTGAGAAACGGGTAACTGCAATAGGTTCGTCCCCTGAATGCTTTGCGGACTGCTATGCACCGTCGCGACACAGCAAACCTAACATGAAGCAAGATTTTAGCTGTAGTTACCGACATATATGCAGCAACACATTTGCAGCACGACCGTTTGGCTGGAGGGTCCTTAAGAAACACAAGACCACACAGATCAGAGACAACGTCTCAGCCGCCGTCCTCAGTAGTTGAAGCACTTCGTCTGCAGTGCAGAGACATACTTTCGACCTACTACTAGATTTTCACCTTGCAAAATTGTCGCAGTTACTTCTGGTAAGACACTGAGTCAGGAGGCGAAGACAAAGCGGTAGAGAGAGCAACGCGTCCACCCGCAATCTCCACTGTCGCAGCAACCAACTCCATTGTGCGCTGATTCTCATTACGATGAGGGGTGATTCGCTCATCCAACAACATCCTCCCACCCCGCCGAATGCTGGGGCAGAGTACCAAGTCGCACTTCACCAAGTTGCCGAATACAACGCAGACCGCGGATGTTCATTCGGTGAGGCAGGGTATGGTTCCCCAAGCTCCGTGGCGCACCAAGGCATCCCTTCGCATGCGTCACATGGCGACGACCACATTCGTGGGCTTGGACTAGTAGGTCTACAATACGTGAGCAAACCTGCATTCTCATGCTCGTTAAAATGCTGATCAACCCCCAGGACGGTTATGGACCGCCGACAGAGTTTTTTCCCAACGGTTCGTATGGCCGCATATCGGTAAGTGAGTCTCAGGCAGAGTCAGTGGCGACATGGCTAATGGATAATAGAACGACCAAGCCCTGTTCTCTCCGCTAACACCAAGATCTGCCAACGGCGATGAATCTAGCCGGGCAGCGACCCGCACCAGTAGAAGAATGACCGCATCCACATCTCCAAAACAAACCGAAATAACCCTAAGGCCAAAAGCAATACCAAGATCTAGGAAAGCGAAAACAGCAAAGGGAGACAGGCAGAAAATACCCAAGCTGACTGCGCCGCTGAGTATATTAACAAAAGAACTGCACAACATTCCGATCAAGAACATGGAAGAGTGGGTCAACAGGCCGGCGGATGTTCGAAGGCGAGAAGCAGAAAAGCGGAACGGATACATCGCTCGTCCAATGAACTCGTTCATGTTGTACAGATCGGCATTCGCAGAAAGAGCCAAGTCATGGTGCTTACAAAACAACCATCAAGTTGTGTCGTCAGTAGCCGGAGAAAGCTGGCCTCTTGAGCCGCCAGAGATCCGCGACCTCTACAGCGAGTATGCAAAGCTCGAAAGAATCAATCATCAGAACGCACACCCGACGTACAAATTTTCACCAAGCAAGACGGCCACTCCAGCTCGGAAGCGAAGAAATGAATGGTCAGATGATGAAGAGTCGAGCGATTTGGACGACACCGAATGGGCACCAGGTGCGGGAAGTTCACGCC